GACTCAACGAAGTTAGACTCAGTTTAATCCATTAACTCAGAATACAGTAAAGACCTAGATGTGAGTTAAAAAGTATAAAATTTTTAGAAGAAAAAAAAGGCACAAATCTTCATGACCTTGAATTTGGCAATGGTTTTTAAAACATGACACCAAAAGCTCAGATAACACAAGGAAAAATAAATAAATTTGATTTCATCAAAATTTAAAACTTTTGTTGCATCAATGGACACTGTCGAGGATGTTGAATGACAACCCACGGAATGGGAGAGATATTTCCAAATTATAAACCTTATAAGAGTTTAATATTCAGAACGTAAAGAAATCCTGCAGCTCAACAACAAAAAGACAAACAATTATAATATGGGCAAAGGACCTGAATAGACATTTTTCCAAAGAAGATATACAAATGGTAAAGAAATACTCAAAAAGGGCTTGGTGCCCGTAGCATAGTGGTTATGGCGCCAGCCACATACACAGAGGCTTATGGGTTTGAAACTGGCCTGGGCCAGCTAAACATCAATGACAACTGCAACAAAAAATAGCCAGGCGTTGTGGCAGCTACTTAGGAGGCTGAGGCAAGAGAATTGCTTAAGCCCAAGAGTTGGAGGTTTGCTGTGAGCTGTGATGCCATCCATAGCACTCTAATGAGGGTGACAGAGTGAGACTCTGTGTCAAAAAAATAAATAAGTACTCAAAAAGCTGGTCAACATCATTAGAAAAATGTCAATCAAAACCACACGAAATGTCACTACATGCCTATTACAATGGCTATACTAAAAACAAAGTGGAAATCAGAAGGGTTAATGAGGATGGGAAGGAATTGTAAAACTTGCACATTGCTGGTGGTATTATAAATTGGAGAAGCTGCTGTGATAAAGAGCTTAGTCATTTCTCAAAAAGTTACACATAGAATTAGCACATGACCCAGCAATTCTATTCCTAGACACGTCCAAAGAATTGAAGACGGGGACTCAACAATCCTTGTAAGCTGATGCTGACCACCACACTGTTCACTATAGCCAAAAGGTGGAGACAATCACTCAGCAGACGAATGGATGAACATAAATAAAAAGGAACGAAGTTCTGAGACATACCAGGACATGGGTGAGTGTTGAAAACACCAAGATAAGTAAAAGAAAGGAGTCCAAAGGTCACTCACTGTGTTAGTTTCTGAGGGCTGTCCAAAAAGTGCCACTAACTGGTTGGCTTAGAAAAATACAAATGTATTATCTCAGCTTTAAGTGTTTAAAAGTCTGAAATCAAGGTGTCAGTAGGGCCACGCTCTCCCTAAAGACGCCAGGAAGGGGTGTGCTCCTCCTCTCTGCTGGCTTCTGGTGGCCTCAGGCGACCCTCTCTCCTCACTCTGACTTCCCTCTGTCGGTGTCTGTGTCAAACTCCCCCCTTTTATAAGGACAACAGTTACAGCCTGTCCCAATGGCCTCCGTCTGACTTGATTAGTTTTCTTAAGTTCCTGTTTCCAAGTACAGTCACCTTTTGAGCCTCTGGGACTTAGGGCTTCCAAGTTTGCTTTAAATGACACAATTCAAGCCATAACAACCAAATATTGTATGATTTCCCTTACATGAAATATCTAGAATAGCAAATTCATCAAGAGAGAAAGGAGATTAAAGGTCGTTGGGGATTGAGGGAAGGGGGCAGAACTTCTGCTCTGGGTGATGAAGAAGTTTTGGAAATAGATAGTAGTGATGGTTGCAGAATATTTTGAAAGCAATGAATGACATGGATTTGTACACTTGAAATGACTTAAATGACTTTTTTATGTTTACATATATTATCACAACTCAAAAACTCATTGATTTCCATAGAAGGAATAGAGAAAGTTATCAGGAAATCACCATGCAGGAAGCATGGAGCCCAGATAGTTTTACAGCAGTGGTTCTCAACCTTACTAATGCGGTGACCCTTTAATACAGTTCCTCATGTTGTGGTGACCCCCAACCATAAAATTATTTTCATTGCTACTTCATAACTATAATTTTGCTACTGTTATGAATCATAATGTAAATATCTGATATGCAGGATGTATTTAGGTGACCCCTGTGAAAGGGTCATTTGACCCCCAAAGGGGTCACAACCCACAAGTTGAGAAACACTATTTTATAGTTTTATGGGGAAGTGAATTTTCTCCTGACCAAGGACACAGCATTCTAAATGGGGGTGTTAGGGTGGGGATGTGTGTGTGAGTGGAGAAAGAATTCTCAACACAAAGATTAGAAGTAAGCAGTTTATTTTACTTTTTCTAAGAGAGAGAGGGGGAGAGAGAAAGAAAAGGGAAAGCTCTCTGGGCGCCCGCATCTCAGTGGTTAGGGCACTGGCCACATGCTCTGGGGCTGGTGGGTCTGAACCAGGCCCAGGCCTGCTGCTAAAAAAAAAAAAAAAAAAAAAGGAACAGAGAAAGAGAGAGAAAGAAAAAGAAAGAGGAGAGATAATGAGAGAAGGAGAGAGAGGAGGAGAGACAGGGTGCAACATTCAAAAGAAAGAAAGGGGAAGTGCCAGCTCTGAACACAGGGGCTCAGAGTTTTTATAGTGAAAAGGACAGATAAACAATGAATGCCGGCCAGCATGGTGGCCACGCTTGTGGTTCCAGCCAGTGGGGAGGATTACTCAAATCCAAGAGTTTGAGGTAGCTGTAAGCTATGAACCGCAGGACTCTACTCAGGCTGGCAGAGTGAAACTCTGTATAAAAAAAAAAAATTAATGCTCCAAGTTTATAATAGGAGATGGCTGTGAAGTGGTTGTGTGTGGTTTCTCTCTCTCTCTCTTTTTAATTGTTTGAGGTTCTTTGAAGGTACAAAGAATTAGATTACACTGATTGCATTTGTTAGGTAAAGTTCCTGTTATAATGTGTCCTGCCCCCAAGAGGAGTACCATATACCATGACCCCCATCACCCTCCCTCCTCCCCTGTCTCTACTCCCTCATTCCTCCTGCCCCCCACCTTTAATTGATTTCAGTTTATCTCCTATGACAGTGTGTATAAGATCATCTACTGGCTTCATATTTGAATTGAGTACATTGGATTCTTGCTTCTCCATTCTTGTGATGCTTTACTAAGAAGAATGTGTTTCAACTCAACCCAGGTTAATATAAAACATGTAAAGTCTCCATCTTTTTTAATGGCTGAATAGTATTCCATGATGCATATATACCACAGTTGTTAATCTGTTCCTGGGTCGGTAGGCATTTAAGTCGTTTCCACAATTTGGCAATTGTAAATTGAGCAGTGATAAATAGTCTAGTGCAAATGTCCTTAGGATGAAAGGATTTTTTTTTCTTCAAGGTAGATGCATGCCCAGTAATGGAATTGCAGGATCAAATGGGAAGTCTAATTTGAGTCTTTGAAAGTTCTCCAAACTTTCTTCAAAAAAGATTGTATTCATTTGCAGTCCCACCAGCAGTGCCAAATTGTTCCCTTCTCTCCACAGCCACACCAGCATCTACAGCTTTGAGACTTTGTGACATGGGCCAGTCTCACTGGGGTTAGGTGATATCTCAGGATGGTTTTGATTGGTTTTTCTTTTCCTGTTTGTTTTTTCCCCTCTTCTCTCTGAGGCTAGCTTCTTAGGGTCCTTGGAAAACACTCCCTCAAGAATTGGTGCTGGGGAGTGCACATACCTGCCATCCACTTAGGGCACTCCAAGGCCGTGAAAGGAACTCTTCAGCATAGCCAGCTAGGCTCAGGTGGTTGACTAAACATAAGAGTTGTTCTGCTGTCAGTTTTCTTTTTGAAGGGATGATTATGTGCTATGAATTTATTCCTTTTATTCTCTGTTAGTTTATTTTTCTCCTTTAGATAGTTTATTAGCCAAGCCATTTCCTGACACAGGGCATATCTTACAAAGGTAGGGAGGAGACAAGGACACCCACCTTCTCTCTCTCTCTCTTTTTTTTTTTGTAGCTTTTGGCCAGGGCTGGGTTTGAACCTGCCACCTCCGGCATATGGGGCCAGTGCCCTACTCCTTTGAGCAACAGGTGCTGCCCAAAGACACCCACTCTTACTCATTCTAGTCAATACTGCACTAGAGATTCCAGCCAGGGTGCTAAAAATGAAAATTACATTAGAGACCCAGGATCAGAAATGAGTAAATAGAACTGCTGTCATTGCAGATGATATTAAAAGAAAAACTCTGAAGTATCCACAAATTATTTAGAAAGAATGGAAAGAAGACAGAACAGCAAGAGAAGTTCTCAAGAAGTGCAGGATGGGGGCACAGTGGGGAGGAGACAGCATTTGGTATCGATACTTACGAAGTAAAAACCATTGAATCAATTGCACTAATTACTGTTGCTTCTACCCGACGTGGCTTCCGGCAAAGGGTCAGGAGACCTATGACTCTCCATTTTCTTCATCAAAAGGCTCAACACATCTTTCATCCTCCATCTCCCTCCTGCTTCTCACTGCACCTCTCATTTCTCTGCCTGGGAGGCCTCTCCTTGGCTCTCCCAAGGTCTCCTTCTTGACAGCCATTGGTAATATTCAATGACAAGCCTTTGTTCCCTGACACCCAACCTCCAAGGAGAGTAGAACCTGCCACACACCCCTCCATGGGAATGTCCTGTTGATTTCCCAGCACTTCTCTGAAATCAGCTTTCTTACTGGTTTGGTGACTTGGTTTGTGTTCCCCGCCCTTCATTTCACGAAAGTTTTGAGAAGAAACTCACCTGATTGCTTATTGCTCACAGTGGGAATACAGAAGCAAAATGAAAAGGAAATCAGGTGAACAGACCAGACAGACAATGGCTGGGAGAGCTTGTCTTTTTATGCCCCGAATTAGAACACCACTTCTGCCTGCTGACTTCATAACTGAGCCCAGCTCTATCCAGAAACAGCAGTCACTGCTAGGGTGTTTGTTGTGGTGTTTCTTGTTTTGATCGTTTTCTTTAGGCCACACCATCTGTTCAAGGAATCTACTGACACAGCTCCAAGCCCCACTGCTGTTCTGCTCCGCACCTGGTCACTTGGCTGCATGTTTTCGCAGGTTAGGTCAGCGAGGTGGAAGTGGTCAGCGCCACATCAGCCCGCTGTAGTGTCTGTAACATCTCCTGCAACCTGCTGTGCACGCGGCCAAGTTCCACTCTGTCAAGCTTCTCCCACCTGTATTCATCCAGGTACACAACGCATTCAGCAGGGACAGGGTACTGCACACGTCTCAGCTCCTTCAGCCTTGCTAAGTGCTGAAGCATGTGTGTGATCCCCGATGTGGAGATGACATTGTCATAGAAGACAAGGGAGTGGAGGTGGGAGCAGCAGCACAGGGCAGGCAGGAGAGCTGTGAGCTGTGCTTCCTTCAGCCGGCAGCTTCTCAAGTTCAGATGCTGCAGGGTGCCAGACACCTCACCCAGCAGAACCTCCAGGGGCCCGGGGACTGTTTGGGATAGGTTATTACTACACAGGACCAATTCCTTCAGGCTGGTGGCATGAATGCTCTGGGATAAGTAGGAGATGTCACTCTTAGTAAGCCTACATCCATTGATCACCAGGGTCTCCAATGGTTTCTGCAGACCGCTGTGGAGAGATAGCCAGTTACTCCTTGGAAACTGGGGTGAGATGCTAGATACATTTGGGAAAGGCTATAAATCAGGTCTGAAAAATTTGCACTGCCCCTACCTCAGTCTTGGTGTAAAGGGTGAGAGCCAGTCTTTGCTACTGGCCAAGAATACTTGGCCAAGAACTTGGAGTCAAACATTCTCCCATTCCCAGTGGGACCTCTGCCATAGCTTAGAGAATGGCATCAGGCATACCGACCTCAGTTAGTCATCATTCATGCTCCATAAATTGTAGCAGGAATTAATGAAGTTTAAATACATGGCAAGGGCCAGTTTTTACTGGTCTCCATGCTTCCATTCACCCAAAGGCCAGGCCCCAGAAGAGCACCTCTCTGGGCCAGGGTGTGCCACAGAGAAGACTTTCAGACAGAGAAGAGTTGCCCAAGCCAATTCAGCTTAGATGTCATAGAAGTGACTTCCCATGCCTAGTCACCCTTGTCTATGGAAGCTCCAGGAGGCTGAGACCCTCTCTGATCTTTGCAGGCAGAATGGGGACCAAAGACCCCATTCCTGGCAAGGGAAAACACCCCTAGAAAAAGGGGGAAATATTCATATGAAATCTATAACCTAATAACAGCCTAAGTATACAGCAAACGGGGAGGGAGAAGGGGGGGAATGGGTGGAGGGAGGGGGATTGGAGGGATCACTTCTATGGTTTATCTTACAAGGGTACAAGTGAATCTTTCTAAGAGTAGAATATGATTGTCTTAACACAATAACTAAGAAAATGACATGAAGGCTATGTTAACCAGTTTGATGAAAATATTCAAATTGTATGTGAAAACACCACACTGTACCCCAGAATTGCATTAATGTACACAGTTATCATTTAATTTAAAAGGGGGGCGAAGAAAAAGGGGAAAATAAAAAGTAAGCTAAGTGAGGTAGAAGAAAAGAAACTCAGCTAGTTTACCTTTAAACTAGCCCCTGCTAAATTTCTTATCTGAGCAAGTTTCCTGCTTTTCCTAGAAGCCTGGCCTATTGGGGATACAGCTTGCAATTACCCCTGCTAGATCTGTTAAGTACTCTGAATGAATAATGGCCACAGAGGAAGCTGTGTGCAAGGCCTAGAAAGAAACATTAACTAGACCATCCCCTCCCCCAGCTAACAGTCAAAGCAAATACCCTTTGTGGAGATTTGTATTTGGCTGGGGCAGAGATCAAGGGAACAGCTCAAGCCCTGAAACATGGGGAGGAGGACTTATATCCCTTATTGCAGAGGAAGAGCCTCTGTGGTGGTGATGAGAGAAAATTACTCTCTCTTGCTGATTCTTCAGAGAAGATTGATGCCAGTAGTGTATTACTCCACAGTGAACTAGTGGATATTAACAACCCCCTAGGAATCTGTGTGTGTGACCACAGACAGGAGGCTGCCCCCACACAAGGCTCAGGTTCCAGATTTCTCAAGACTGCTCACATCCTTAAAGTTAATGATTATAGCAACAATAGAAGCTGATATGCTTGCTCAGAGAAACTGCTGGCATGTTTGTTCCTTTCCTCAGCTTACCCTCTGGGCTAATGAGCAAATAGCCTTCAATAAAAGCTGAGTGGAACAAACACTTGGGGCCACCATGAGAACCCCACAAATGGGCAGTGGTTCCCTGTGTGTTCCCACCTTTGAAAATTCTATTCTGTGCGTCTTGTATCTTTATTTCTCATTTCTAACTTTCTATTTCTTCAGTCCATTGCAGTCAGATCCACAGGTCTTTTTTTTTCTTTTGAGACAGTCACCCTTGGTAGAGTGCAATGGTGTCATAGCTCACAGCAACTTCAAACTCTTGGGCTCAAGTGATTCTCTTGCGTCAGCCCCTAAATAGCTGGGACTACAGGCACCCATGACAATGCCAGGCTATTTTTTAGAGACAGGGCCTTACTCTGGCTTGAGCTGGTCTCAAACTCATGAGCTCAGGTGATCCACCTGCCTTGGCTTCCCAGAGTGCTGGGATTACACTCTTGAGCCACTGTGCCTTGCCAGATCTATAGGTCTTAATGGACCCGGCAATCTTTCTCAGAGTTTTCCGTCCGATTCTTAGCTCTATGCTTATTGTGGACTGAGTGCTTGAATGAATGAATGAGGGAGTGGATGAGATGCCAACAAGACCTCTCCCATATTTCATAGGGTGGTGTCAGGCACACTGACCTCTCTCCGTCTCAGCTCCCTAATGAGCCACATCTCTTCCTTCTGTAATAGTCAGCAGCCACTGGCTGGCCCAGGACCTCACCCTTGGAGGGTGAGAGTGTGTCCAGCATGACTCTGCAGGGACTCAGGGAAGGGAAGCCCAGGCTTGTCTCCACCCTGATGTGACATCAGAGGAATGTTAGGGAATCCTGGCCTTTGTACCTTCAGAGGAACTTTCTACCCACTTACCTGAGCATTTTATGTAGTTGGCCCGAGAGACAACCAAAGATGAGGTGGAGCTTCTGGAGGTGGCCCAGGGGACTCAGCAGGGAGAAGCAGTTGGTGGGGAAGTCCCAGGGGATGTCACTCATAATGAGGTTGCCCAGGTTGTGCATCCTCCCCACCTGGGTGAAGAACTGGATCAAATCAGACAGGAAGCAGCACCTGCTATGGTAGTGCAACCGCACCTCCCGGATGGCTTCCAGCTCCAGCACTGCCAGGATCTCCACAAGGCTGCAGAATGGCACCCGGTTAACCACTAGTGCCCGGCAGCGGAGACGGAGACAGCCCCGGCTCTTCTCAACCCTCTGCAGTATGTAAGAGGGGAATCCGGACAGGTGGAAGAAACCAAACAAGCCACCTAAGAAGAGGTCTGTGTGTATCTCCACGGGTTCGCAGTCCCATGGGGGACCTTCTCTGGAACTGCATGTGAGCTGGTCTGGCTCGGGCTCTTCCAGCATGTGTGTGATGACAAAGGGGGCAGGTGAGGTCTCAGAGCATTCCTCCCAGTTGGAGTGCACAAAGTCATGGGTAAAATCCAGCACCTTGAGCTTCGATCTGCTGTGGGGAGTGAGGAGTGAAGAGCAAATAAGGGATGTGAGTTTTCAAGACAGTGCTGGTGTGGGTCCAGCAGCGGCAGGACCCCGGGGAAGGCCTCTGTGCCAGCCCTGCCCTCCCAGTCTGCCATGCCTTCCTTCTCCATCCTCACTCCCCATCCTTGCATAGTCTTGGGATACCACCCAGGAGTTTAACCACCCCTCTTAACCAACCATGTCGTACCTCAGCAGCACAGTCAGCTCTGAGCAGCACCAGCTTCTTCCATCTCTGTGTGACTCTGAGCAGTGGCTTCAAGGCCTCCAAGTGATTGAGGCTGTGTCACCAGCAGATTTGGCACACCCTTTAGACCCACATTCCTGAATCCAGCTCCCTCCCTCACAAGGCCCCCCACCTTCACCCAGCCCAGCCCTGACTTACCTGAGGCCGACAGTGGCAGGAGGGATGCATTGCAGCCCATCCAGCACCGCCTCCAACAGGTCTTGAGTTATTGACTGATCCCTCAGCGATCCCAGATGGAGGCAAGGGAAAGGCCAGGCCTGCACCATCGCTGTCACGGTCTTCACATGTCCCCCATCGAAGGCTGCGGCAGACAGTGTTGGGAAGAGGCCTGCAGGGAGCTCTCGCAGGGCTCGGAGGGCTGAGTCCTCATCACTCAGCAGGCTCTGTGCTGCGAGGTCTAAGAGACTGAGGGGGCATGGCCTGCTCATCACTGACCTAGACCAAGGCAAGGGAGATTCTTGATCCCATTTCAGGGCTCTTCCTCCTTTTGTCAGGCTGGATGAGCTGGGCCTCAGTCACCCTTTCCAGCTGCAATTGAGGAATGAGACCCAAGGTCGTCTGCCACCACACTCTTCCATCCTGTACCACCTCATCAATCCCCAGCCCTTTCTCTGTCTGTACTGGCCCTGACACCAACTGGATGAGATGAGAATACTCAGGGTTTCATCACTGTCCTTAATTGTCCCAAGCTGAATTTATTGACCTTTCCCCCAAATCATCATCCAAATGCATCCCAGCAATCCACCCCTTAGCCCAGTCCCAGAGGTCGGAGATTTCTGTCCTGAGGTTTCCTTTGCTTTCTTTGGCAAGCAGGTCTTCTAAAATAGTTAATGACAACTTTGCTTGCAAGGCTTCATTATCATTCAGAGATGGGAAAATTATTTTCTTTTTTTTTTTTTTTTTTT